CAGTTCATTTGAATATGAAGCTCAATCTAACTGGAATAATCTTCCACTGTTTTTAGATCCATTATCTATTTCCATTGTTTCAAGACATCTTTATTTTCTCATCTTGTTTATGTTTCTCATTTTTGATTACTTAATAATCTTCATTACTTTTCAAGGTCACAGTTTCTAACATTTTTTTTTTGCAGTGAATGTTTGTTATGTAATGCTGTTTTTGTTCATATGTTTTGTTTTGTATTCGTGTTTATAGGACCCCCTCAAAAATGGGATTCTGCATCTTAAGGGGCAATCAAAATTCTAAATATGCCTATGTAAATTATCATTTAAATAAGATGATTTACACAGCATAAGGAAGAATATCAAATTACATAAAAAAGAGAAATTTTGAATATTCACATGTGACATTTTACGTAAGAACATTTATATATATCTTTTAAATACATTTTATTTTAGACTCTTAAAAACTGTGAATTTTCGTTTTACATAAGGAAGCGAATTCATATACGATTACCTCCCACATTGGCCAGAGGAGGGCGACTGTTGGCATAGAGCCGAGCCTCACAGAGCGTCTGGTCTTCCTTTACCAGGTCCTGACCTGCTGTCCGCCTCTGTTAAATAATGCATGCAGACTGGTGACCTCCCTGACTCCTCCTGACAGCCATGCCGCTGTATCTAGCAATCACTTGTACTTACACTCTACATGGCGAGAAAAGGTCAATGCATATGGCAGCAGACATGTAAATGCCTAGATATACAGTGTCACTGTGGATATAGGTTGTGTGAGAGAAACAGGTCTCGTGCTGAAAAAGACTTATTCAGACATCTACACAGACAAAGTGCTTTATATAGCGTAGGTGTGCAGTAGAGTATGTTAGCTTAGCCTCTTTCACATGGGACAGTGTCACAGTAGCAGACAGAACTGAAGCAGAGCATTTCAAGTTTCATTTTAAACATTAGCTGGCAGCAGACAAAAGAAGTTAAGGTTCAGTCTCTATTCCTTTTCTCTCACTAATACATTTTCCCTATGTCTCTCTGTCTTACTCATTCTCCACATCTTTCTCTCCTTGGGGAATGGTGTGAGCAGATTACAACATGGATATCTCTCGCCACAAAGAAGCTGTCAGACCTAAAGAAAGCACTACTGCTTTTACATGTTTTATCCACAAGATTACCATAATCATGTAGCTGAACATGGGCCAGACCTCCATTTCATTTTGAAAGGAGGTTGCCTGCTCTGCAATTTAGTGTATATATGTAGAACACACCTATTGAAGAGTATGGGACTTGATCCCCCGTGGGAATCCTTTGTACAGTACAAGGATTTCTGTAAAAGGCGACTTTTCAAAGTGCTTTACTATTACGTATCAGATTGCACACCCAAAGCAATCCTTAATTTCTCTAAAGTCTGCTTTTTACCTGGTACACTTTTTTTTATTGGGGTTATGAAAGTCACCTAGCATGATATTTATGCAAAGTTTATGGCTGCGTGGCGATATGCAGAACACACATTATTTAGATCCCATATATCACTTTAGAAAATATCAGGCCACAGTCCAGAAGTTGCTAAGCCTAAGTGTGGCGGCTCATGGGACTGTCAGCCAGCCTATGGAGTGTTACGACACCAGCTCATCCATCTTGCCCTGCTGCATTGTGGGAAGATGCTTTGCAGCACCGGTGGGGGGGTCAGGGGTGATGGATGGATGGAAAAACTCGGGGGGTGTCAGAAAAGCGAGGCGACAATCTGGGCTTTCTGGGACCGTGTCACATTGTACCTCCAGGTATGATGGCAAGAACAGAGGGGACATGTTGTGAAGGCTTCCCACTCAAGGGCAAGGGGGGGACATCAGCACAGCGCTGCTGGCTTCCCTCGTGTCTCCTCTGTACCCTTCCTTATAAAGGATGCAAGACCCCACCAGGTCTATTTAACAGCCGCATTCCAAAAACAGCGCTGGAACACATTGGTATCCTGCACACACACACACACACACACACACACACACACACACACACACACACACAAACAGATGCAGACACATGAAAACACCTACCTGAATGAACAAGCACTTGCATGCATACACACACACTCTGCACAGAAACAACTCTGTGTCACACACACACACACACACACACACACACACACACACACACACACACAGACAGCCTGCAGTTAGTTTCCTCTCTCTGTGTGACCCCTGATGAAGGAGTAGCAGAGTTGTTGGCAGTTCTTCATTGACATTCAGGATAGTGTGTGTGTGGGTGAGCGTGAAGCCATCTAACTACAGACAACCCTTACACATTCACTGGTGGCCAGATTGACTTGGTATTCCTCATGGCACCACTCCTAAACCACTTACTCACATTAGCAATGCTAATGCAGGAAGGTGCAGGGAGATGGATTCATCATACCCCCCCCTCAAGCTTTTTCTTGCACATAGGCTACACACACACGCAGTGGCACTGACTGTCATCTGCCCAATGAAGAGGTAAACTACTGTGTGATTAGTGGATTCTAGATGTTGGGAAGTTATAAGGTGGAGACAGGCTAGGACGGGCCCTTCATTGTTCCTACAGTGAACTCTAAGTGACTGATGTGGTGGGGACTCCTCTGTTATACATCTTCTGAAGATCAGACAATTTGTTACATATCTAGATGGTTAACATCCGATACAAAAACTATACAAATACATTTGTACCAGTACAATACAGGTTTAAAGGGGACTGAGCGTAATACTGTTTTAGTGCGGATTTGACAGCATTTGACATTTTTGAGTAACTGAGTCACAAAAAAGTAGCTACCTACTGAACAAAAAATTCCAAAAAAAGCATCCTAAATATGAGCAGTGACACATTGTTGAAGGAAATGCTGCTGAGTGGTTTCCTCAGTTCTGGGGTCCATGTCGTCCATTAGAATTTTGTATTTTCAACCACACAAACTGGGCACATGTCATTGCAAGCAGCTAATGACATCAGTTATTGCCTTCATACAAGAGGAATCCAGAGCCAGGGTTAGGGACATAGTGTTAGCTGCTAAATCTAGTATTACTTGTGTAACTAGTGTTAGCCTGGTTCATGGTGCCTCAGGCATAGTTTATTATTAAACTGTTGTCTGTGTTGCAGACTGCTAATGCCATTTTAACACTGAACACAATACAGTGGTACATTTCTTTCAGTTACTATTTTAAATAAATATCTTTTCTGTGTCTGCAGTGGTGTGTGAGTTAGGCATTGTTTTTGTTTGTATGGATTGTGGTGCCTCCTAGGAAAAGTTGAGCCCCTCTTCATTTTTGAATGTTATCCTGTAAGACACCATTGGTAATTTAGCCTACATTAAGCAAGCATTTTTCATGAAGCTTGGCAGATGAACCCCCTTTAGAAACAAGATGTGAAATGTCACAAACACACAGATGTCAGGGATGTGCAATTACTTTCAGGCCTTGTGCACACAGGAGGGTTGACTGTTGCACATTGAAATTCAACTAGGACAGCGACCTCTGTCATCAGATGCTGTGTGTATATCATATTATAGTAGTACCCAGAAGAAGTTTAACCAGAAATTCATTGTATTTGAGAGACTACAGGAAGTCCCAGTGTGGCCATTTTAACAAATAATTTGACAAATTATATTACGGTCTAAATAATAGAAGAAAAGTCAAATACTTGAACAAATCCACCCCCCTAATAGTTACTGGTAATGATTTCTTTTTTCCAAATTATAGCAATTTACACGGTTCAGTAATAACGTTTTATTCAAAATGATTCAAAAGTATTATTAGAAATTTTGAGGTTCAACATGTACTTTTCAAAGTCAACTGCAAGGCATCATTAGAAAATGACAAATAAGCCAAAAGACTAAAAGCAAATGGTAATTACAGAACACGTGTTATATTTGATCACAGCAGGATTATTTAATTATCCTTCATAGCCGTAATTTTAGCCGTAATTCTAACTTTCGCCAGGATCATGGCATACATTAACCTGTTCTCAAGGGTATTACATCAGAAGCCGGTGTGTGAACACGACATGTACCTTACGCACCATGTACGACAAGTCCCGTGCAATATCTTATAAAAGAAATATGACAAATGTTGCTCTTTTTCTCTCATGTTCCCCTCTCCCTATTCTTGCACTGAAATCATGTAATCAGAATGTCTACCCTCATTTTCACATCCTTCCTTTTTTGTTACATTACTCTATGGCATCTTGCTGCTTTGAAATCCTGAGGTGGAAAAAAAAAAACACCTTTGATGTTCCATTGCGAAAACTTCAAAGCGGCGTGCTGCTGTAATTGACCTTGAAGTAATTAGATAGTGAATTGTTGATCTTGACATCAGTTCTTACACTATGAAGTCCTGCTGGTTAATGCAAGTTCAGAGCTGTACTGCACGATCGCAGTCACATGGACACTGTCAGTAAGGGTCAGAGAGACAAACACTCTTTTATCTCTCTACACATGTTAACTCAAAGGCATATACATACAGTATGGGCATGAAGATGTGTGTACTTGTATATAGAATCAGCAAACCATGTCTGAGTTAGTGTGTGTGTGTGTGTGTGTGTGTGTGTGTGTGTGTTTACGGTGCTCTGAAAGGGCTGCTCCTATTGAAGAGGCCTCAGTGTCACTAATGAACCTTCAGGCACAGTGACAGGAATGAGGGCCAAAGATATTGTTTGTTTGTGTGTGTGTGTGTGTGTGTGTGTGTGTGTGTGTGTGTGTGTGTGTGTGTGTGTGTGTGTGTGTGTGTGTGTGTGTGTGTGTGTGTGTGTGTGTGTGTGGGTGGGTGGGTGGGTGGGTGGCTCATGCGTGGCCGTAAGTAGCGTACAGATTTGTGTGGGGGGGTGTGTGTGTGTCAGCGATATCTTGTGTGGCCAGTGGGGTTGAGGAGGCTGCAAGCCGGCGATAGCACTGGCCTCTGTTGTGCCCCAGCTAATCTACTGAACTGCAAGGCGGGGGAGGGGGGGAGGGGGGGGGTCAAGGAGAGGCTTCGTCCTCTCAGGCAGCTGGGCCCAGCAATCTAAAACTCACTCCTTGGCTTTGTGTACTCCTCCTCCTCTTCTTCCGCCAATATGGAACAAAACTCAGGTAATATGATCCCAGGAAGCCATTCCTGTTGTTTTTCATACTTACAGTGTGTCACCTTAGATAACTGAGTTAGGAAAAGTTAGAGTATATGCAGTGTGGAGGGAAAGTGGTGCAGTATGAGTCTCTCTGTTATTTATTTTTAATACTGTTTTTGTAAGTGATTAAGGGTTTTATTTCCTCTGCCGTGCTCCATCTCCTGATATATGCAATGCTATCCAAAAGCAGAAAAGTTCAAGCTGGAGGTTTGGTTTTAGCTGGATTAAGTTATTTCACTGGCAAATCCTGTGTGATTAGGAGGTAAACAATACAAGTCTCTAAAAATTGCTTTTAATAAAATGTGGGACTGATTAGACAAATGAAATGTACCATTTGTTCCTTTTTAAATTCAATCTTGTCATAATGCCCAGGGCTTAAAACTAACCTTCCAGCAGTTCAAATATTGGTAATGATTATTGTGCTCTAATTTAACTAAATTTCATAACAGTTTCCTGGCCAATATTACACCCATGAATGTCTTTATTTATTCTCCGGAATAGAAAAATGCTGCATTCAATCTATCTAAACCCATTTTACACATCACAGAGTATCCTTGATTCTTCTATGGCTCCCTGAAAAGAAGTGGCATCTGCCATAGTAGCTGCAGCAAAGCATTCAGGCTCAAACGACAATCATTAAGCCAAGGTTGAAATCAGTCAAGGGCCTCTTCTTCTGCCCACTCCCTGCTATGTCTGCTGTGCCCCACAGGAGTGGAGTTCAGTGATTAAAATGTCTGTAATTACTCCACCGGTGTGCACACAGTCGCGTGTCTGCATGCAAGTGTGTGCGGGAGTGTGTTTTCAGGGATGTGTGTGTGTACATGCGTTGTAGGTGTGTATCCATGATAGTGTTGTTAGCAAAAGGACACCTTCAATGTAGCCCCCGCGGGGAGAGAGTTGTGTAAGTGCTCCCTGTGTGAAAAGTGTTGGATAATTTGACTCAAGGCATTGGCACCCAGAGAGGTGTGTAAGCAGTTTGTCCGTAGCCAAGTATCTGCAAAGCCTCTATATGTGTGTGCGCGTGTGTGTTTGTGTTAGTGTGTATGTGCTAGCAAATGTATGGATTTTTTTATGCATGCATGTATATATTCATTGGAAGAAAAAGAGTACACTTAGGTAAGACACAATAGCATAAAGTTAAAGTGACAATTCTGTCCTTTTCTGAACTTTACCAGCCGCACTCACTGTGTATTTAAGAAGTTAAGCTCCACAGAAAAAAGTCACTAGCATGGTACCAAGCCCATCTCTGAAATAGTCTCAAGTTATCACACTGAATGTCCTTAAGATTGTTCTGTGCTGAAGCGTCCCTGAGAGCGGACAAAGTGGCAAGAGACAGACAAAGAGGCCTTGATTGAAGTGGCAGTGCTAACGCAAACACAAATACATTGTTATCGAAAGGTATTGTGTCAAAACCGCTCGTTTGTGTGAGGGTGCATTAAGATGGTAGTCGGTGCACAGCTTGGTTCTTTTGTTTGCTAAAATTACCCACTGGCTGTGTTTGTGTATGTGTGTGTAGGTGTGTGTGTGTGTGTTTGCTACGCAGATGAGGCAGGCTCGGCCTAGTTATAGACTAACACAAGCTCTGTGACAGTACGTGTGACTCTGTACCTACCTATTATTGTTTTATACCCACTGCTTTTCATCTTCTGTTGCATTTACGTGCGACTGTGCATCAAAAAAGGAGGCCTGGCCACAGTGTGTTAATGTAAAGCCAAAGAGCTGTGGCTGTTTAATGCCACATATTATATATTTCTTTTGTGTGATGAAATAGATGAAAACACTATCTGTGTCGAAGTATGGAGGAAATTGTTATTTAGGGAATTTATGTACATCCTAAGACAAGTCTTGAACATGGTGTGTGAAATTACCATTGTAAGTGTTTGCGGCTGTGTATGGTTTTTCCTTCAGTACATATGTATGCTTACATGAAGCGGCATAAATCATCCTTGGTGAGCAGTATTTGATTTTGAATGACATCGCAGGGAATGTATACAATATTCCTCCTATCTCCCTCTGCCTTTCCACACAAACACATACCGTAAACTTACAGCCCACTCATCTGCTGCACATGTGTACCCGTGAACCACATTATCATGCAGAGGCAAGGACACACAGACTCTCCTATAAGTATAGGTAATTGAATAAAATGCATGGTTCATTTGTCAGATTGCATGCAAACATTCATGTGTGTCTCTGTTTCGACATACACATGCAATCACTGAAAGTGACAGGTGTTTATGTTCTATATTTAGATCTGCACTGGTCCAGACGTGGGATTGGCTGTCTCTGTTTTGTTCCTGTATTCCTCCTTCTGTTGTTGCTTTCCCTCTGAGGTTGACTGTCATTAGCTACAGAGAGAGCTGCAGGATGAGGGGAGGAGGTGGGGGATGGCAGGTATGTTCGGAGACTGAGGATGATGATGATGGCCCTCAGGTTAGTCTACTTAAATCAAAGGGACTGTCCACTAAGAGCAGGATTTCTATTGATGAAGATGTAAATATAAAGAGGGAAGGAGGTCTTCAAATTGGTTGTGTTAAAGTGTTAAAGTAAGTGTTTTGACAGTTAGAGTGGTACTGCGCCAGATATCATATTAATGATCCACAACCGTAATAAAGAACCATATAATAAAGAATGATGACACAATAAAGAAATAAAAGTCTTAGGCAATGGACAGTTTACAGAAAGGACAATGACAACAGGAAATGAATTGTTATGTCCAATTGTATTTAATAAAGCAGATAAAAGACACAATGTGCTACAATACTAATAAAACAGATACAATCCACATTGTGCTACAGGACTAACCCTGTTGTATATTAATCCAAGTGTGAGTATGCAGCACAAATAATCCTGTCTGTCTCCTGTCTGGAGAAATGAAACCTCTAATAACTACATTCAAGACATTTTAATACATTTTTTAGGTCTTAAATTGTTATTACAGCTGTGATTTTAAGGTCAGATCAGGGCACAGAAACTAGAAGAGGGAAGGTGTGTAAACCATAATAGGCCGGAGAGAGGAAATGAATGGAAATGAGAGGATTTGGATGATAGGAAGGAGAGGTGAGTGAGAAAGCTGTGTGGAAAAAGGTGATTTGAAGGAGGAGTGGTGTGCGTATGTAAGTTCATGAGGAGGATGCAAGTATACGCCAAGGGGTCGTAGGTGCGGTGTGGTGGGAGCGATCAGACCCAGACACCGGGGCGGAGGGGGGGATTAATGTCTAACTACCTACCGGCAGAAAGCCTGCAGAGAGATGGATATCAGGGAGAGAGAGGAATAGAGGTAACGTGTGTGTGTGTGTGTGTGTGTGTGTGTGTGTGTGTGTGTGTGTGTGTGTACGATGTTTGAGAGAGAGAGCGAAACAGAAGAAAAGAGAGGAGGATGTATAAGCTGAAATGAAGTGGGCATTGAAAAAGATAGCACACTTAAAGTTTGTCCAAAGACAAAATATACATGTGTTTTGCATAGTTGAATACATAATTACTCATAATAGAGAGACAGTACGTATAAACATGTTGTATTGGGATTTTATATGGGCCATCTCAGGCACAGGTACAAGACATCAAAGCCACAACGTTATCCATTATCATCCCTGCGTTGTTGTTGTTGTAACTTTTCCCTTTCCTTGCTCCCTCTCTTCCCACACCTCTGCTGCTCCAGCCTCTATTGAAGACACTGACATGCCAGCAAAGGATCCACATGGGCTTCTTTTAACACATTCATATTGTAATGAGGCTACAGATTAGAATAGGAAGGAAAAAAAGGGTGGTTTAATGCGAAGCCTGCCAGAGAGTAATGCACTCAATCAGTGAGATTTGTGTTAACCTCAGGAAACCTCAAAGAGCAGAAAATACTGAGTGGTTGAAAGTGAAAGCATCAAAGCTATCCTTATAATTACTCCCAGTATTTTCAGTCAACCTGTCATATTCCTCATTATCAGCCTTCATCAGTTACCATCCTTACTCATTTACTTCTTTTCTCGTCTTCATCACAGGCTTGATTTTGCATTTAGCTGACGCTTTCAGAGGGGGAGAGGATGCAATGCCTTGCAGAAAGATGATTTTGCAGTCCATGTGAACTTGTGGCTTGCTGGTCAGTAAACCATCATCATCCTTCTCATCGCTCCTGTTTTCACTCTGATATGTTGTCTTCAAGCCCTCACTGCTTCAGTGATTAACATCTTCTTCCCCCACCACTTCACTTTTATGCTCACTGTTGCTCCGTTTCCACTTTTTTCCTCCCTGATTCCATAATTTCCCCCCTCTCCGTCTTTTACCCTCATCATTATAATGTCTCTGCTCTGCGTGAGGGGGAAACAGGGGGAACATTTAACCAATGACCGGCAGCAATTAGAGCCGCTGACCTGCTGAGTTAGCGTCCAACTCTGCCCTTGACCAGCTCTGATCGTACTGTGAACCACACTGCAAACAAACTACGGGGGGGGGCCTCACATGTAAGTACTGTACATCAAGGTGAATGTTTTGAGGCTTTTTCCCCCCCTCTTCACAGAGTGTGAACACACAGTAAAGGAATAATACACACATACATAAACGTGTGTAGACACTCAGCAAAAGTTGCAGAGCCACCAGTGTGCATTAGTGAGCCTGACAAAGCTCATTTAGGTTTGCCGGTGATGAAAGGAGTACACAGTCCCGTCCCACTGAGCTTTATGAAAACGTTGTGACAACGCAGAGTGATCCACTTAGGAGGTGCATAGTGCCCCTCAGGGGGTGGCAGCCCTCTCTGGTGGCTCTCTTTGCTATTGTAGATGCGAGCAGTGCACTAAATGCTCCAGCCACGTCCCTCAATGTTGCTCAAGGCGAGGACACCACGGCGTGCTGCGGAAACGGTGCAGCTAGTAGCGACAGAGTAAGATAGCAAAGGTGGCTCTGTTTGAGAAGCTTGCATTGTCATTGTGAAAGTATGTGTGGGCGGGGGGATGCTGTGTGTTTGTCTAATTAATTATGTCTTCTTTTCTGTAGGCCAGAGGAGGTTTTTACCACTTTCAGAGAAAATATCCTCAAATAAACTTCACCAGCACAACATGTTTCTTTTTCCTTTTTCTTTCCTTCCTTTATTTATGCTTTTCTTCCTTTCTGTTTTGTCTATTGGCTTCTTTTTTATTTTTATTTGCCTTTCTTTTCTTTTCCATCATCTTTTGTTCTTTTGTTCTTCCTTTTTCTGGGTTTCTGTTTATGTATTTCTCAGATGTATCCATTTGAGTGGGCATACAGTATTGAGTATATATTTTACTTATTGAAGTGTAGCTGTGTGTTGTTGAGTTTGCAGATGCTCTTAATTAAAGGTATAGACCAGCTGTTGGGGAAATCTGCTTTTTTGCACACTTAGATGAAAAGATAAGCCATTTAGCCTAGCTTAGCATAATGACTGGAAACAGGTGTTTAAACGGTAAAGGGTAAAAACAACCTGCAATTTCATGGAGTCTCTGCTGGTTGCCTGACACATAACAACTCTTCACAAATCAACAAATTGTCATTTTGACACTTCGGTTCTTGTAGGGATTACTGTAACCAATCCAGATATAACATGTCAATTAGGGAGCTTTGCTGGTTGGTCGATTTTGTTACCTTTGGACAGAGCTGTTCCCTGATTCCTGCTAATCTAAGCTAACCGGCTGCTGGCTGCAGCTGCATATTTACCACACAGACATAAAAGAGATATTTAGTTTCTCATCTACCTCTCGCCAAGAAAATTAATGAGCATAATTACCAAAATGTCAAATTATTTATTTAAAGGACCATATGTAGATTGCAATCAACTGAATAAGGTTTCAACCTGACGGTTCAACATTGCAGCTTTCAAAGAAGAGGACCCGCTTCCTCTGTAGATAAAAACGTCTCATTATGAGTTGTGTTTTTAGGTTATTAAACTATATACTATTTTAAATTCCATTTCTGCCAATAGATCCTCCTAAATGTTACACACTGGACCTTTAAATAGTTTTTGCTTCTGTTATATCTAAAGCACATGAAAAACCAAAGTCTTTGTCTCTTCCTTCCAGAGGACAGGAGAGTGAGATGTGTTCATCAAGGTTTCCGTGCGACACTTGTTGTATGCCAGGAGGCACAGCGGTCACAGGGGGTGCAGGGGCACAGATGGCAGCGCAGGTGTGGAGATGCCACTACATCAAGCACAGTCATCAACCCCATCTAAACACACTCTGGTGTGCGGCCATTTCCACACACACACACACACACACACACACACACACACACACACACACACACACACACACACACACACATTTTATATCAGATCAAGTGACTCGTAAGCTATGACTTTAAAATCATTTCTTTAGTCTTTTCTTCCCTACATCTGACAGGAAGCTGAGCTGTCAGCAGTCCTGTTCTGTTCTGTTAATAATTGAACCCAAAGTTGAGTCAGAGTGGCCGTAGTTCTGACACATTAAACATTGATTTTGAGAGTAAATGCATCTTTTATTGTAACATGTAACAATCCCCTCTGTCCCACTTTACTTTCACATCAACACTCTGGATGACAGCTTTCCCAGAGTAGAGATTTTTTCGAGCGTTCCTTTTCCAGCATATCACTTGTTTGTCATTTGAACTGGCAAGCATGGAGGAGTAAACAAAACAAGACAGCCTGAATGATACCCTGAATTGGCGTCGCATGGGAGAAGTTAGAATGGATGTTCGGAAAGTGACAGCTCTCCTGCTTGACACTTAAATATTTTGCATTCTTCTTGGAGTACATATGTTTTTTAAACAATGAATGATGTTCCAATGTCACAGTTTTTGTCAAGGGTGTGCTCTTGTGCAAGAAAACTTTCTTCAGTCTATCCGTTTCTGCCAAATCTTTATTCATTATCATCTACATAACAATAATGATTGTTATGAAATTCTAATAGGTCTTTAAGTGGTAATACCTATAGAAGCTGTGTTGGTCTCATTTAACATATTTTTGACCCTTAACCGAGATAATGAGCAAATGGAGCCCTGTACACTAATGTGTGTGTACTGATAGCAGTAACAGCATTTATAAACCACTGTACTGGATTAATTACCTAAAAGAGTGCTCTTCATGCCCAATTCCTAAGAGAACAGGGTGATTTGATTCATAATGAGGCTTGCTCATTACAATGACAAGTCCTCATGGCTCATCAGCCTGACTTTGAGAAGGCAAACTCAAGTGCAGAGTTTGCAGCCTTTACTTAAGCTTTTATCAATATCAAATTAACAATAAAAGCTATGAGGTCTTAGAAGTTTAACCTCCTCATTCGGGGGTGTCAAATATTAGTATTCTGCCACTGACAGTAATTGACTGTGGATTTGTTTTGATTGAGAACTTGTGTGACAACCAGAAAAACATTGATAACATAATATGTTGTGTGAAGTGGCAATGTTTGACTTGAACAAACTGTATGTAAGTGCCAAACTAAAATGCAAAGACACTTGATATCATCACTTCTCATATTGCAAAGAAATTAGTAATAATAATCTTAACAGGCACTATACTCTGTGAGCATGCACACACACTTTAACACAGTACCAACTGCACTGAAATATGCACTCTAGTGTGTTGAACACTTTGCCTAATGACTATTAAATGTCTCCTAACAGCTTGCTGGAAACAAGACACATATTACGAGTTCATGAAAATATATTGGAAGCAACAGTGAAAGGGGACAATGTAACCATTTCCCTTCATCATAGCCAAGTTCCCAGGCTGAAAGAATAAAGGAGAGAAAAGCACCTAATGGCCTCTAATTTATAAAATGGCCTGCTTCAGAGTGCTGTTCCCAACTTAACAAACATAAACCTGTTAAACTGTTCCTCCACCTTCATCAAAACTGGATTAAATGGCTGTCTGTGACTATAGGCGCACCTACAGAGAAGATTATGGTTTGTAGCTTTCACAGTATTGAGTCCATTTTTATCTTTGTACCTCAATCTTTCAACCTTCTTTCTTTCTCCTTTCTGATCCATTCCTCCCTGTCACTCCTCTGCTCTTTGTGTATTAGAGGTCTTACTGTTGTGTCACATAGCAACCGAAGTAGGCGTTATAGTTCCACTTGCTATGTAAAAATAATGATAACATTTCTAGCAAGCAGACAGAAAAACAGATACCAAATAAAGTCTTGCTGTGGTAGGTCAGCTGAGGAACATCACAATTTAAAAGGCCCAGTGTAAAAAACTGTTTCAAAATAAGACATATTTGTCCATATAGTCACAGCTTTGTATGTAAAAAGGATCAGAAAAAATTGTTAAAACTGTTAAAAATGGTATTTAAAATGCACTATATTCCACTGTACAAGATCTGACTTTCAGTTCTTAATTAAAGAATTAAATTGAATTCCAACCTTCCCACTGAATTAAATTGGTACTTCCTAGCCACTGACTATGCAGTGGTAGTGAAGCTTGAACTTCCATGCTCTTTTCCAAAGGAAAGAAAAGAAGAAAACCTTATTCAAAATCACATTTACATTTGTAATAAGGCAAATTATGAAAAATCAGCTGAATAACATAATCATGCTCAACTGTATACAGCGTGCTTCATGCTATCGGTCAAGAAGGGATCATTTTTAGCAGCTGGTAAGAAACACTATAGTGCAAGTCTGCTCAAGTGTAAATGCCATAAACATGACAGACTGAGGCCTGTCAATTTGCCAGCTGTGAGAATGGGCAGGGGCAGAAGAAAGATTAGACAATTAGATTAGATATTAGAAGAGAGCATGGAGAAATATCAGATATCTATATCTTGAGCAGCAAAATTTTCCACTAATTCCACCAGCTAGTAGCTAGCCTTGTCTCTCTGCTGTTTGGTGCTGTGCAGGTATAGTGTACAGTGGGTTTTTGACAGCGATGGATGATAATAAAATTGCACAACCCAAAACCAAAACAATAAACTTAAAGATGCTATAAAACTCATCCAGCTGAGAGGAACTCTAGAGTCTGGCAATAATTCTGTGAGTTCAACAAGAGACCCCTTTAAACTACAAGTAGTCATGTATTTTGTTGTTAATATAAAAATACAGAATATAATCAAATAAGGTGAGCTGTAGTTTTTTAACAACTTTGTCAATCGTTAAATGCTATTATATTAATAATATAATTCTTGACCGCCAATCCACTTGCAACCTTTTAGTAGAGCTTTAATGAAACCATTTCATTGATGCTATGAATGCTCTGGAAAAATACTAGTAAGTGGAGTTGTATGAGGAGTGAAATAATTAGTTATAGTCAAATTGTCAATGCTTAATTCTGTGGAAAGGTTGAAGCACAGTTGTAATTAGCTCCTTCCGCTCAATATTAAAAAAGGGCTTTGACTTCCAATATGGCCACCAGGGTCTTTTATATCACCTGAAAGTGCTCTACGTCTATGTTTATGTTTCCCTGTGGATTTTCTCCTTTCAGTCTTATTCACCTCTGTCTTCTTACATCCGACATCCCCCCTCCCCACACTGCTCCCCACTTTTCCACCTCCCCTCCAAGCCCTATTGATTGCTTCGATTGTGGCAGGTGATGGCAGAGTGTTGTTTGCCATGAGATAATTGTCTCATCATTGGCGCTGTGATGAGTGCTCCACTCCCCCCTGCTTATTTATTTATTAATGTGATGTGTCACCTGCTCCACACTCAAGAGGGAGAGCCAGGCAGGTTAAACAACTGCAGAGCCCTCCCTCATCGATTAGTGAGGGTGGGGGCTGGGGTGGTGGAGGGAGGAGTGCTCCAGGGTCAAAATGCGGCGTTCAGAATACATATGTGGAATCAGTGGAATGGAAGACCGATTTACAGGGGAATGGGAGCAGGATCAGCCCCCTCATGCTCGCTAGGTTATTCCCGTAATAAAAGCATGGAATGGTTTTATTACTGTATTGATTGGAAGGATTGTGCTGCATCGACTAAGTGAGGCACAAGACACCAAACGTCACACTTTTTGGGGCCTCAGGGTAATGTGTTATTGTGCTGGTAGTAATTGCTTTGGTTTTTAGTTATGCAAGTCAGACTAGTTTAGAATTTCAAAAGTTCACTGATGAACACACTTAGTCCATTTTGGAACCACATCTCACATTTGACAGCAACTGCATTTCCCCATCATGATGTGGATTCTAAGTCACCCTGTGTTTGATGGCTCTAATTACAGTTCATACAGCTAAATGGTTGCTGTCATGGCTACCACCTAGCACCACTGATATTCTCCGTTTTGGATAGGTGATTGCTGCCACCACCCACCTCTGATCCAACCAGCCTGTACACCACCGGCTGTTGCTGCTACTCACCTACTGTAATCTCATCACGCAGCTGTAGCTTTTGAGAATGTTTGTTTTTCATTGGAGGCTTTAGCAATTGGCATCTGTAAAGGTCACATATATGAAATTATCTTGCCACTAGGTGTCGCACTAGAGCACCAGCATTTTAAATAAAAATAATGGGCACAACAATCGACACTCTATCGATAAAACCATTATTTTTACCTAAAACTAGACAGAAACAAAATATATTTTACTATATAAATATATTTTTTGTCTTTCAACTGGTCCAGCAATCACCAACTCTGGTCAGGTTGAAATAAATCCTTAATACACAGACAGAGATAAGAAAAACAGTCGCTCTCCTCAGTTGGAAACATGCACTAAAATGCATTCATTGCCAGACAGGATTTATAAACAAAGCACAGAAAGACTGGGATAGCAACACAGGCAAAGGGACTGAGATTACATTCTCAGCTCAGGGCACCATGACTGTGCCATATCTTTACATAGCAAATAGTGGTTTGCTGCTATATTGATAGTCATAAATCCATTATCAAATCACCCAGCTCCCAGGCTGTCCATTCTCTGGAGCTGACTGCAGTGCACTGGTCGGACTTTAAGAAGTAACTCTGGTGTTTCCAGAGAGTCAATAAGATGTCTGTATGTATGAGTCAACTTTTTGCATTCACTCTCAAGCTGATTTAGTTTTATTTTTTCGTTTTTTTGCTTGCGTGCATCCTGAAGAGGAGTTTACTATTGAGATGCGGACTGTGATGAACTTCATATTGTTGTCTGCTTTGTATTTTTTGTTGTCAGTGGGTGCCTTTAAGGTTTCTGGTTTTAAGTTATTGTTACTCCAAAAGTCTTGTATTGATGGACATGGGTCCTTTGTAGAGTTGACTGGTACAGAACAAAAATTATAATCTTTGTCACACCATAACTCTCCGTCCAGCCACAGTAAAGCAACATATATGCATCTCTGTTTGCCACATCATAATTCTGATCGCTATCCATCATGGTTTTCCCAGGCTGCATGCAAATCAGGGTTGGCAAAAAAAAGATAACATAGGTAATCCAATCCAATCCAATCCACTTTATTTATAGAGCACGATTTTAACAAACACAAGGTTTCCAAAGTGCTGCACAAAAAGATTCAATGTTCAATTCACTGTTATTTGTATAGCGCCAATTCATAACAGCTTTTCAAATAGAGCAGGTCTAGACTTATAACATTATTTACAGGGACCCAACAGTACCACCATGAGCAAGCACTTGGTGACAAGGCCAAGGAAAAACTGCCTGTTAAAAGGCAGAAACCTAGGACAGATCCTTTGGCTCTAGGTGGGTGGTCGTCTGCCTCGACCAGTTGGGGTGAGAGAGAGAGAGAGAGAGAGAGAGAGAGAGAGAGACAGACACAGAAAGACAGACAGACAGACAGACAGTCAGACAGGTGCACAGTCAAACAGGACCATGGCAGGAGGCTCCACCAGGATCAATGAGAACCTGCAAGACGAGAAAAGCACAAGAACTCCGGGGAAGAAGTGAAGTTAGTAACATGCAGTAATGGGACATGAATGAGTGCAGAAAGAGAGAGGAAGAGATTAACAGAATAAATAGATAACACAATAGAAGCACAATAGAAAGATGAAGTACACATTAGAAAAATAAAATAAATAAATAAAATAAATAAAATGCACTTCCCGCACACAATAAAATATGCATGTATACACATAAAATCAACGCTCTACATGGTGTCAAAAACCAAAGAAAAAAGGTGGGTTTTAAGAAGAGTTTTAAAATGAGACAGAGAGGAGGCCTGTCTAATGTGCAGCGGCAATCCATTCCAAAGTTTAGGAGCCGCAACGGCAACCGCTCGATCCCCTCTGAGCCTAAGCCCCTAGCTTTAGGCACTGTCAGGAGCAGCTGGTCAGCTGACCTGAGAGATCGCCTGGGAGTGTAGGGGTGCAGCAGCTCAGAGAGGTAAACGATAAAGCACTGATAGAGGGTGAGATGAACAATAAGACAGTACATTATGCTTTCTGTGTGACTGTATGTCTTGAAGTTTTTTGGAGCCATTGCTTCATATGTGACATTAAGAAACATGGCTAATTGCAATGTCAGTTCAGCTAATGGTAAACATTTCTCCACACTTAATGCAACAATGCAATATATCACTTTATAATGTAACGTCATTTTCGATAATGTAACTTCAGCTGCCATAATCACAGGGGACAGACACTTTAGAGACTACTTCCAC